TCCTCCGGCTTCCCCTCACCAGGCACCAACGTGTACATCACGAGGGCGCAGCTGATGAACTGCCATGTCAGCGCAGGCACACGGCACAAAGTCCTGCTGCGGCGGCTCCTGGCCTCCTTCTTTGACCGGTGAGGCCCTCACCAGAGCCCCAGGGATGGGGAGCTGGGTTGCCCCAGGGCCTCCCTACCACCATCCTGAGCGCTGACTCCCTCCATGCTCCCTGCCCCCAGGAACACGCTAGCCAACAGCTGTGGCACTGGCATCCGCTCTTCTACCAACGATCCCCGCCGGAAGCCCCTGGACAGCCGCGTGCTCCACGCCGTCAAGTGTGAGTGTCCGCCTGGCTGGATGGGGCAGAGGCCCAGGGCACAGAGGCTGATGTTTCCTCCGCAGCCTTGGTGCTGACAGCGGGCTAGAGTTCAGTGTTGAGAAGCATTCTGGGGCTCAGTCTAGCCTTGCTGGGAAGCCGCTGTGATTGCTTCAAGATTTCTTCGTGACTGGGGGATGTGGGTGCTGAAGGGAAGTCAGGGAGCCTGTCAGGCAGGAGGCTGTTGAACTCAGGGCAGTCTGGGAGGGATAAGGCAGCCAGATGGTGCTAGCCACTTGTCATGTGGGGGCGTCTAGATTTTCAGGTGGCCTCTCCCTGTTACTAAATTCTGGCAAATGATCTGAATTTTTCAAGAACACAAGGCCATTCCATCAAAACCCACACATTTCCACACATGGTTGAACTCAGTCTGGTGTAGGGGCGGATGCATGTGTGTGGAGTCCTGGCTGTGCGGCCTCACTCTTCTCCCCTTTGAGGGAAAGTCAGTCACAGATGCTGTTGGGGGACTGCTGATTAGGCCTTGTGGGAGTCACCTGCCCCCCGTGCTAAGGCCGCACCCCCCTGCTCCACAGACTACTGCCAGAACTTCGCCCCCAACTTCAAGGAGAGCGAGATGAATGCCATTGCGGCCGACATGTGCACCAATGCCCGTCGCGTCGTGCGCAAGAGCTGGATGCCCAAGGTCAAGGTGCTCAAGGCTGAGGATGATGCCTACACCACCTTCATCAGTGAAACGGGCAAGATCGAGCCGGACATGATGGGCGTGGAGCATGGCTTCGAGACCACCAGCCATGAGGGCGAGGCAGGCCCCTCGGCTGAGGCCCTGCAGTAACCCGCCCACCCAGGAGGCTCCCCATGGGGCCGCACACTCCCCCTCCCGACACACACACCCCTGACATCTTGGTCACGAGCTACTGTCTGTCCCTCCCCAGGACCCGCGGTGGGTGCTGCATGTTCCTCGCCCTCTGCCCCTTCTGTCCCACCCCCTTCCCCCACCGAGAGCCAGGCCGGGAGAGGACCACAGGGTAGGTGGCACGAGGTCTGTGTTGCCTTCTTTAACACACACTTGTGCATCAGGGGAGTTCTGGCTCCCCATCCTAACCCCTTGCCGTCATCTCCCCACTCACCAGGCCTGCCAGGGGAGGGGGCTGGCCTGGGGGGCTTGGGAAGGCCCCCTCCCCAAGTCCTGGGCCACCTCGCGGAAGCGTTCCTCAGCCTCCGCCTCTCACTGCATCCCCTTGGGACTTGAGGGGGGCCCCAGGGGTTCTCAGGACCCCTCCCACCACCTCCCAGTGCTTCCACGTCTCCAAAAGCGCCTTCCTGTCACCCTCGTCTGTCCCTGCACCTGGGGGCTGGGGTAGGCGAGGCCGTGGGGACTGCCTATTTTACAGCTGGGGAAACTGAGGCTCCGAGAAATTGCACAACCGACCTAAGGTGGCCAGTGGTGGCGTGCCCAGTGCCCTTTCTCCTCTTTTCCGCCTCTACTGCCCCATTGGTCCTCCAGGGCCTGAGAGAGGCAGGTCCTAAAAGAATGAGGGTTCTTGGGGGCAGACCGAGGGTCTCGGAGGATAGAATGAGAGGTTTCCAAGGCTGGCAGAGTGTGTGCATGTGCGTGTGCAGTTTTGCTTTCAATCAAATGAAGATACAAGAGGCAGTAGGACCTGGGTTGGAACCCAGAGGAACAGGCTGGGGGGCTGCTGCCCCTCCCTCCATCTCCCCACCCCTACCCCACCCCAAGGCAGGGCTCCTGGCCCCCACTCCTGTACATAATTTTTAAAACATTTTTTTAGCGAATGAAATATTGAAGTATAAGATTCCTTTTATTTTTCAAACCAATGGGGCTGTGTCTGTTGTCCCCCTCGGTCCCCAAGGGTGGGGGGGCCATGGAAGCTAGGATGGTGGGGGGGGCTGGGGGGCAGGCTGAGAGTGTGCGTGTGCGTGTGTGTGTGTGTGTGTGGAGTGTGGGTGTGTTTCCATGGTAGGGCTCCAGTCCCAGCTGCTGCCTGGGCTCCTGTGGGTCCTCCTGGGTTCCCCCTCCCCCTGTCTACCTTCCCCAACAGGGCTACAGTTGAAGAGTGTCCCAGGCCTTGGCTGGTTGGCTGGGCCCAGCTCCTGGGGGCTGGGCAGTGCAGCACAGCGCAGGGCTGGGCCGGGCCCACTTCCATTGTTAGCAGTTGTTTGCAGAATTTTCTCTTTTACCATTCCTCTTTTTGTTCTCACCCAGAGCGGGTGGGTTTTTTTGTTTGTTTCAGATTTTCATGTGAACGCAGTTTTTTTTTTTTTTTTTTTTTTTTTTTAACTCCCCATCCCCCTCCATGGGTGTCCTTTCACCATCCACATCCTTGTTTGCTTCTGGCCCTCGTCCTCCCTGCCTCTCCTCTGCCTCCCCAACCCCCGCCTACCCACTGCTCCCTGGGGTCTCTCCAGGGGCAGGGGGATTTCAGGAGATGAGGTGGGGGCCAGCTCCAACTGGACCCTTGGAATCTGATTTGGAGACCATCCCTCTGATGGGACCAGCAGCCCTACCGGCCTGCTGGGGGTCCCTCTTAACATCTGCTTGTTGCGGGGGTCAGTCATGAGTGCCAGGGTCTGGCTGGGGTCTTGGCACTGCCTTCCTGGCCGGGGCCTGGCACCGTAGTCCCCAGCCAGCCTGAGTGGGGGATGTTGACACCCCCAACTAAAGCACAAGCACCTTAGTCACCCCTCCTCTCCCCCTGCCTCCTAGCCTGCCGCCCCACCCCAGCGTTGACCCCAAAGCACAATGCCCTGGTCACTTGGCAAGCGGCTGGGCCCAACGGAGGCTGAGGGGCGGGCTGGGGCTCCAGCCAGAGCCCGAAAGGAAGCAGTGCTCCCCAACTTCCAGGCCTTAGTTGGGGTGGGGGGGCCAGCTCCTGGGCTTGGGGTCTTCCCACCCCTACCCCCTTATCCTGGGTAGACCCCTGCCTGCCCCTCTGACTTTTCCTCGGGTGTCCCTCCTTGAGCCCCTGTGGCACTGGCGTGGGTGGCAGAACCCAGTTGTTTCAGGGACCCCAGGAGGAGCCCCCTGGCTCCCAGGACTGTATGTGTGGGTCTGGGGGGTTGGGAGGGGAAGAAGGGCCGGGCAGGGGGTGCAGGGGAGGAAACTCCTCACCAGGAGAGCCAAAGACAGGGTTGTGCCTTACCCCAGGAGCCACCCCTGTGCCCCCCTTGCCCTGCCATTCATCCCACCCCTCCCCCCGGGCGGCCTGCTGCTTTTTCCTTCTCTCCCTCCCCTGCCCTGCCGTGAGCTGCATGGTTCCCCCACCCTGGGCAGCCAGGAAGGAATCTGAATGGAGAATCACCAACCACCAGAGAAAAAAAGACTGTGGGGCCCTCCCTTGCCAACTCCCCTTCCCTGGCCGCCCACTCACCCACTCCTCTTTCACGCAGGACAGGGTACCCACCCTGTCCACGTGAAGTGCCAACGCCTTCCCCACCCTGGGCCGAGCCCCCACCCCTCCCTGGGCCCCCAAGTGAGATTGCACATTTAACTACTGTAAGGAGAGGAGTGGCGTTGGCAAATGTGAACCATGAGAATATCAGTGATACTGATGAGAATAAACTAAACGCCTTTGTAACAGCCTTGCCGCATGCTTGTTACTTGGGGGGCCCGGAGAGGAACACACATCCGCGTTGTGCCCAGCCAACCCAGATCACTCTGACTGCAAATTGACAGCCTCCAATGGCAACATGCATGCAAGTTAACCACAACAGATACAGATAATGGAACACGAGCTGGTCTTGCAGACGTGAGCCCCCAGTCCTGCTTCAGTGAGCTCGTTAAAACCTTGGAGAGGCCAGGTTTGGTGGCTCATGCTTGTAATCCAGGCACTTTAGGAGGTTGAGGTGGGTGGATCACGAGGTCAGGAGTTCAAGACCAGCCTGACCAACACAGTGAAGCCCCATCTCTACTAAAAATACAAAAAAGTTGGCCGGGCATGGTGGCTCATGCCTATAATCCAAGCACTTTGGAGGCCAAGGTGGACGGATCACCTGAGGTCGGGAGTTCAAGACCAGCCTGACCAACATGGTGAAATCCTGTCTTAAAAAAAATTTAGCTGGGCATGGTGGTGTGTGCCTCTAATCCCAGCTACTCGGGAGGCTGAGGCAGAAGAATCGCTTGAACCTGGGAAGCAGAGGTTGCAGTAAGCCAAGATCATGCCACTGCACTCCAGCCTGGGTGACAGAGTGAGACTCTATCTCCAGAAAAAAATAAATATTAAAAAAAAAAAAACGACTAAGAGGGCCGGGCGCGGTGGCTCATGCCTGTGATCCCAGGACTTTGGGAGGCCGAGGCAGGCAATTGCTTGAGGTCAGGAGTTTGAGATCAGCCTGGCCAACATGGTGAGACCCCGTTTATACTAAAAATAAAAAATTAGCCAGGTGTGGTGGCACACACCGGTAGTCCCAGCTACTCAGGAGATGAAGGCAGGAGAATCACTGGAACCTGGGAGGCAGAGGTTGCAGTGAGCAGAGACTGCGACACTGCACTCCAGCCTGGGTAACAAGAGCAAAACTCCGTCTCAAAAAAAAAGTCCATAACACACACATGCACACACACTGGGGCACTTGTTCAGGCAGTGGCTTAGAATGGGAGTCCCAGTCAGGGCTCGGGCACTTGTTAGCAGTCAACACACTGCATAACACAAATATGTATAAAAAAGCCTGGGATTTTATTTCCAGGTTGGCACTTGTGTAAGGCACAGGGGTCAATGGCTTTGGGGTCCCGTAACTAGAAATGGAGAGGGGTGTGTCTGAGGCCTCCCTGCCTCCACCACCCTCTAAGTGCACTTGAACAAAACCAGTGGTGGTGGCTTCGGCCCAAGGCCCTCAAGGGTCCCACTGGCTCTGGGGGAGACCTGTGGGGACAGCTCCCCAGGTGGGACCGTCTATTCTTCAGCTACCCAGGAGGGACCCTCTCCTAGGAGGCTAGGCAAGCTCCAAAGTACTGGGTGGCTCCTCAGGCTTAAGGGACCAGCCCACCAGGGAGTGCTGGGGTCAGAGAGAGAAAAGCAGGATGAGAATGAGGAGAAGCACCCCCACCAACACGGCGATGGCACACCACTGTCGGCGGTCTGGGGATGAGAAGGTCAGAGGTCACGGGGAGAGGGTACCACCTAAAACCTGCCCCACCAGGACTGACCCCTCTCCCAAGGGGACTCACCACTCGTCATGTGGGATACTTTGGCCATCTTCCTGAGGACCCCGTCCATGCGGGACTGAGTGTGGTCCATTTCTTGGGCGAAGGCATCCAGCATGCTGCCAAGAGCAGGATGGCGTCAGCCCTTGATGGCCCAGACACATGAGGGTGGCCAAGAGCCCTCCCACCCCCGGGGTCCTGGCCTCACATGCCCTGCTCGTCCAGCTCTTCCCCAACACGGCCGGACATGTGCTTCAGGACCCAGATGCTCCCAGACACCATCTCCAGCTGTTGATCCTGTTGATCCATGATTAGCTGCAGAGCGAAGGGGTGGGAGGTGTTGCTGAAAGGGATCCCAGAAAGCTGGGCGTGGTGGCTCAGGCCTATAATCCCAGCACTTTGAGAGGTGGAGGCATGTAGATCGCTTGAGGCCAGGAGTTTGAGACCAGCCTGGACAACACGGTGAAACCCCATCTCTATTAAAAATACAAAAATTGAGCCGGGTGTAGTGGCTCACGCCTTTGGGAGGCGGAGGCGGGTGGATCATGAGGTCAGGGGTTCGAGATCAGCCTGACCAACATGGTGAACTCTGTCTCTACTTAAAAATACAAAAATTAGCCAGGTGTGGTGGTGTGCACCTGTAATCACAGCTACTTGGGAGGCTGAAGCAGGAGAATTGCTTGAACCCAGGAGGTGGAGGTTGTGGTGAGCCGAGAGCATGCCATTGCACTCCAGCCTGAGCGACAGAGTGAGACTCTGTCTCAAAAAAAACAACAAAAAACATAAAAACAACAACAAAAAGGCCGGGCGTGTTGGCTCACGCCTGTAATCC